TCCCTTTTATGGTCCCCGCCCCCTCTGTTCCCTTTTTCCTATCTTTTTTCCCCAGACTGGAATTCTCTCGGGACAGGGACCTTGCCCTCTGATATATTATGGAGTGCTTTGTGTAGGATCCAGGAGAGGTAAAAGAAAGTCCTCCCTCAAGCAGCATGGAGTTGGAACTATGGAACTCGCTGCCACAGGAGGCAGTGATGGCCACCAACTTGGATGGCTTTAAAAGAGGATTGGGCAAATTCATGGAGGAGGAGAGGGCTATTGATGGCTACTAGCCACAATGGCTATTCTGTGCCCTCCACAGATTTTGCATGGACCTTTCTGCTTTCCCTTATCATTTCATAGCCAAGTGTGATTCATGTGCACTGTCGTTTTCGCTAATCAGAAGTCAGCCCCGAACCCAGCCATGGTTTGCAAACCTAACCATGGTTACAAAGTGTGGGTTAACACTGATATTTTTGGTTAACTGAAACACCACTGAACATGAAATGTTGGTTGCTATACTTGGTCCCAAAACTGCATTATACTGGGTCAGGACATTGGCCCATGTTGTTCAGTATTTTTTTACGATGACCTGCAGCAATGGCTCTCCAGGACTTCAGGCAGGAGACTCCCCCAGCCCTACCTGGGAATGCCAGTGGGGATTGAACCTTAGAACCTTCCACTTGCAAGTCAGATGCTCTTCCATTGAGCGGTGGCAGGCCATGGGTGGTGATGACTACTCAAGCATGACATCTTAGCCTTCAATCACAGAGTCCTGTGAATGTGGCAACAAAACTCCATTTGAGTTTTGCCATATGTTAAGAGGGACCCAGCAGAAGGACCAATGTGGATGTTTGTGGAAACAACATCTCTCTCAAATAATAAAATTAAAATTTAATGGTACAATGGCAGTGTTGCACCACATAGCTGAAGGCCAAGAACTAAAACGAGTAGGCAAAAATTATGTTATTGGAAAGGTTGATGAAGCACTTGGAGAATTCATTATTGCAGTTACTCGCTATTTGAATGTGTATTAACAAAAGGCTCTTATTAGCCACACAGTCAACAAAATTCTCATGGACTTCAGGTAGAGGAATAAAATCTTGCACATAGAAACCTATCTTCATGGAGAAGCTTTCTGGTTGAACACTCTTTTATGATAACACTGGCTTTCCGCACGTAGGAATTTTTGCAAGCAGTTTGAAGTTATTTAGTCCAGGAAGGACTGGCCCATGCAGTTTTGCTGAAGGAGTACATCTATTCCTTCATTGTCCAGCTTCCTATCCTATCTCCATGTAGTAATGACCAAGCATATGTATATTTATATATTTTCTTTTCCTAAGAAAAGCCAAAGCTGTGATAAGCACATAAGAAAGGCCTGCTGGATTAGACCAATAACCCGGTGGCCAACCAAGAGAAACCCACAAGCAAGACGTGAGCGCAAGAGCCCTCTCTCCTGCTGCTGCTGCTGCTGCTGCTGCTGCTTCTGCTTCCAGCAACTGCTGTTCAGAAGCATTGCTACCTCCAACCATGGAGGCAGAGCATAGCCCCCATCATGGCTAGTAGCCATCGATAGCCCTTTCCTCTGTGAATTTATCCAGTCCCCTTTTAAAGCCATTTAGTTTGGTTGCCATTGCTACCTCTTGTGGGAGTGAGTTTTCCATACTCCTGTGGGAGTGAGTTCCATACTTTAACTATGCGCAGCATGCAGACGTACTTCTTTCTTCTCTGCCCCTGAACCTTCCCACATTCGGCTTTGTTGGATGCCCACGAGTTCCAGTGTGATATAACCGTGGCCCAAACTACATAGAATTGTGCAGCTGTCACTTAACTTGCATCTCCTCCAGTGTTTCCCTAGTAACATTTAGCTAAAGATTATGTGTTATATGATGTCTTGGCACTCCAGTTCCCAAACTCGCTGCTCCCATTTCATAGACTGCTGGTTGCATTTTTGCTAAGCATGACCAGGGACACACTGTATTTAGCAGGCCAGAATGTGGTGACAGCTATTAATTCCTCCTGAAATGCAATCTCTGAGCCATGGTGAAGGCACCAAGTTTTATTCCCATGGAGCACACTTCATAAATAACTGAAGATTGTCAGCTGCGTAACTGAGAAATGATCTCCACATTGGAGAAAATCGGGCCCAACCAGGCTGAAACTTAATGCCACCTGTGAATTAAGGAGAAGAATCACATTGAAGGCTAGCAATAGTGCTAGGAGCTTCTACGTGGAACGTTATAAGAACAGCCTGCTGAGTCAGTCCAGTGTCCCATCTAATCCAACATCCTGTTCTCACAGGGGCCAACCAAGTGCCTGTGGGAAACCTGCAAACAGCATTCAAGCACATGACAAACTCCCCTCTAATTTCCAGCAACTGGGATTCAGAAGCACTGACTACAGAGGCAGAGCATAGTCATCGTAGCTAATAGCAATTAATAACTTTCTCCTCCACAAATTTGCCCAGTCCACTTTTTAAAGCCATCTAGGTTGGTGGCCATCACTGCTTCTCTGTGGGAGCCAGTTCCATAGGAACACCATGCATTATTCTTCCTGAGCCTTCCAACATTCAGCTTTATGAGATCTCCACGAGATCTTGTGTTATGGTGGGGAGAGGGGCTTTTCCTTAACCACTTTCCCCACCCCATGCATTATTGTATGAACTTTTGTCATGTCGCTTCTTAGTCATCTTTTCTCTAAAAGAAAAAGTCCCCGATGCTGTAACATTTCCTCTTAGGGGGTTGCTCCACCCCCTTGTTCACTCCCCCCTTGTCACTGTGAGCTTGACTTTCTGGACTCAGTTGAGAACGCACGGCCGTGATTTCCGCCAGATGTTTTCTGCAACTTGGAAATGGCATGTGTCTATCTCTTAAGCTTGTTGGTACGTAGGGCAACTTTTCTTCATCATGCGATGCACTCGAGACCCATGTGCTGCTGGGCCTTTATTTTGGTTCATAAAGCCCTAAACCACTCAGGAACTACATTATGTCAGAGACCCCCTTCCCTTTGATCTCTACCTCTGGTCCCTGTGCTCAGTTGATAATACCTCACTGTCTGTGCCATGTGGTCAATAGAGAGGCCTTCAGGACACTTAGACTATCCTATGTAACAAATGAAAGCTCACTCTTGTGGCGGAGGGGCTGTGATTCTTTAAGATCATGGTGTTGGAGCTGCCCTGTTATGCAACCATTTGGGGAAGTGGTCTTCCTCGTGGTAGGGGTCATTACCAGTCACCTAGCTCATATGAACCCTTCCTTAGCTGTGCTCTTCATCAGAAGGGATAATAGCCAAAGTATCCAATGTAAACAGCTGCCACCCTTGATTTTGGCTGCAGAACTTGAGGATCACTGAAAAGGGGTCTCTCCTCCTACAAAAGACGGGTGACATAGCAAAATGTGGGACATAGCGTTGTCCATCCATTGGATGCAGCACAAGCGCACTGTAGAAGGCAAAATGAAAGGGAGACAGATTTGATAAATCGTGTGGCTTCCTTTTGTTGTGGGAAATCTCCCATGCCACCAAGTCGTTTCTCCAGGTAGGACTTTGCAAATAAACAGAGACCAAAATCTATAAAGCAAAATGTCCCAGGAGAATGATATTTTATTTCCTCCTAATCCTCCCAAGGTATTTGATCATATATAGTTTTCCTGAACACTCTTAAGACAAATAACTTTATATTTTGCTTCATTAAGAGCCTGCACAGTTATTACACATTATGGGCGGTTGCCCAGAGTGGCTGGGGAAACTTAGCCAGATGTGTGGGGTATAAATAATAAAATTATTATTATTACATTATGCCTATACATTTATCAGAGATTACCTTCTTAACTTACTACTTAAGGAGACAGTTTTCCATTAACTCGACAGTAGTCTCAACCACTTATTCCATCTTACAGATGCCGGGTCACATGAACATTGGGCATTCCATACATCAGCCCTAGTCTTACTCAGACATAGACAGTGTTTCTTCACACTTTTATCACTATGTAAATGGTACAGCTATTCCTCCGAGAATTCCAGCCCATCAGATATTGGAAGTGTATGGAATACATTGTGCTATATTCATCTATGTAAAATTAAAGGAAATCATTTTTTTAAAAAAAACCTTTTTTTTAAGGATTCGGTCAGCAGTATTCTAGAGCTCTGTCTCCTTGGTGATTTTTTAAAAAAAAAGGTTTTAAAGATTTTTTGAAGGGGAAAGCCAAGAAATAATACCCTTTCACTATCCCAAGCCCATCTCATAACAGAACTAGCAATATAGGCAATAAAAACAGACGCTTCCAATTCTAAGCTTTCAGTGCCTATTGAAAAAAATTAAAAAATTGCTCAGTAGCACCTTAGAGACCAACTAAGTTTGTTGTGGGTATAAGCTTTCGTGTGCATGCACACTTCTTCAGATTGCATGCATACTTCTTCTGGGTCACAGCATTCCTAGCAAAACATAACGTGTGATAAAATAAATAATGCAGAAAAGGGACCCAAATGGATTTCTTGAAGGCCGAAGCTTGTTTACACATCATCGGAACACAAAGTTCCTAGACAATGTTCTCTGTTACACTTTGTTCTTGCCCGTATGAATTTCTGGTAGAATCAATTAAATGAGTTTAGCATTCTAATTAAGATACATAATATATATTTGCCTTTTGCCTGTTGTGGAATTTATTGCTCTTGTATTGTAATCCTGAAAAACAACAGACACACAATGTGAATACAGCACAGTGACACTCAACATAGGAAGCTACCCTATACTGAGTCAGGCCATTGGGTGCACCTCAGTCAGTGTTGTTTACACTGACTGGCAGCACCACCTTTGGTTTTCAGTTGTTGGTGGGATGTGTCTCTCCCAGCCTACCTTGCAGATGCCACTGGGCTACAGCTCATCCACTAAAAATAAAGTAATAGTCCAGTCTTCATGGTTCTGAGTCAAGGGCTGATTTGCATAGTCAGACCAATGGGTCCATCCTGCTCAGCGTTGTCTACACTGACTGGCAGCAGCTATCCAGGATTTATGCCCTACCTGGCAATGCCATAGGGGTTGAAACCTGGGAGCTTCTGCTTGCAAGGCAGATGCTATTCCACTGAGCTATGACCGCTCCCTCAAGAAATCACATGCCGATACATTGCTTTTGTCTGTCGAAACAAATCCTTTAAACAAGTTGAATAAATGTGGTTATTGTTTGGTTCCCCTTTAGCAGAGGATGGCTGCTTCCACACCCCCAACGGCACAATGCTTCCTGGCTGCACAGAGGCCCCCAGGCCACTCCAGCGCAGCAGACTGCCGTTGCAGAGGCCAGGGGAGGCTGATACCAGGAGGCCCAGCGCAGAAAGCAGGTCGGAGCAGTGTGCAGATGTGGATGTGGGGAGACTGGTCTCCAGGCTCCAGGACAGCGGGCAGAAGCTCCCCAGCAAAGCGGCGAATGGCGTCATGCCTGTGACGGAGTCCGTGAAGGCCTCCACACTGCATGCTAAGAGGCCTGCTCCCAGACTAGGGCCAGTCTGCAAGGAAGGTGAGTCCACGTGTTCTTTGTCACCTGTCGTCTTCTTCCACTGCAGAAGTGAATGTACCTGCTTGATGTCAACAGGAAGGCAGTTCCAGAGCGTAGATGCTTCCACACACACACACACACAAAATTATTTCTTACAAATTTGGAACAGGTATTATGTTTCACCTATAGCAGTGGCAATGCCTCCTGTTGAAGTGCTCAAGTGGGCATGCATGAGGTAAGGCAACCTGGCAGGTAGACTGGTCCCACGTTGCTTTGTATCCTAACACCTTAAACTTGGCATGGTTGCAAATGGGCAGGTCTCTGTGCAGAGGTGCTATAGGCTGATAGGGTCTCACTCCTGCCAGCAATTGTGCTGCAGCATTTTGCAGTAACTGCAGCTTCTGGATCAGGCCCAAGGGCAGACTCACACAAAGCGTTTTTGTTCCAGTGGTATACTCCAGAGCTTAGGGAAACAAGCTGTGGGATGACTTGGACGCAAGTGGAGGAAAGATCTGAATGAATGCAACCGAACACTGGTAAGGGCTCATTATCAAGCCTACCTAGCGGCAGTGAAGACAGCGAAGAAGGCATCCTTTGCTGCCTCCATTGCATCCTCAACATGTCATCCAGCAGAGCTTTTCTGGGTTGTACGGGGCCCTTTACAGGCTGGCCCAAAGGAGGTGATAGAACCAATGGTAGCTTGCTATGATTTGTTTGCAAATTGCTTGTATCCACCAAGACCTTGACTCTGCTGTTATAGCAGATGACTCTCATGGGGTGTCTAGAGCACAGTCTAGTCCTGTTGTGTTGGATGAATCTCAATTAGTAAGGCTCGAGGATGTGGAAAAGGTGCTTGGATCAGTCAGGGCGACCACTTGCGCTCTAGACCCTTGACCCTCTTGGCTGATAAAATCCAGCAGGGAGGGGACAGCTGCCTGGGCCAGGGAGGTGATCAGTGCCTCTTTACAAGAAGGGGTGGTCCCTGTCTGTTTGAAGGAGGCAAAACCACTCCTTAAGAAACCTTCTCTGGATTTGGAAAACCTAACTAACTACCGGCCAGTTGCTAATTTCCCTTTCCTGAGCAAGTTTCTGGAGCGAGTGGTCGCAGACCAGATCCAGGCACTTTTGGAAGAAACTTATTCTCAGGACTGCAATGCCTCAAGGACCGCCTCTTTCCATGTGAACCTACCTGGACCCTGAGATCATCTTCTGAGGCCCTTCTTCATGTGCCTCCTTGAGAGGTCCAGAGGGTGACAACACGAGAACAGGGCTTCTCTGCAGTGGCTTCCTGTCTGTGGAATGCTCTCCCCCAGGGAAGTTTGCCTGGTGCCTTCATTATACACCTTTAGGTGCCAGGCAAAAACGTTCCTTTTTAACTAGGGCTTTGGTTGCTTTGATTGACATCCTATGCCCTTTTAAAATGTGGGGTTTTGGGGGGGGCGTTATTGGGTTTTTTTATTTTGATTATGTGTTTTGTGGCTTTATATTTTGATTTTATTCTGTGAACCGTCCTGAGACCTCTGGGTATAGGGTGGTATATAAATTCAATAAATAATAATAATAATGTTGTGCAGAACTTGCTAACCAAGCTTTTGGGGTTACTGTGACCAAGTTGCAGCTGCAGATGTTTGTAAGCAACTGAGAGGTGGCTGGACTAAATGGCAATCTCCTGTTATGGACCTTTACAGGACCTTTTTCCTCCCTGGAGCAGAATTGCAGAAAGTGTTGAGGGCACAATGTCAGTGGCATTTTAAAAAAGAAAAAAAGCCCCCAGTTTGTTGCTTGGCTTGCACACCAGGCTACCAGAGTGAGAGATGAGTGGCCCTGAAATACGTTCCTCTTTCCAAGTAACTTTTATTATTTATTCCTGCTTTTTCTGACTATTGCAATCTGTACACAGCAAAGGAACTTTTGCTATGTTTCCTCTTTACCTCTTGTTGCTGGCTTTTGCATATTTTATTGTGTTAAAATTAATAAAAATGGGTTACATGCCACCTACTCTCTGAGTTATGAGAGATTCCAGGAGTCCCAGGTGCTTTCTCAGAGTTTCCTTGGAATGTGGGTTAGCGGAAACAGTGATGGATATGCAGTTTTATGTACACATATTTGCAACCTGAGCCTAAGATGGAACGGCTCTCAGCATTAACACCCCAACAGATCATTCCTTTCCATTAGTCGCAGCTTTGGATCTAGCACGGAGCAAGCAGATCTATGTTTCTCCAGCTTAGCTCACATAAACTATGCTGGCTTTTGTTCTCTCATACCTGACAGCTGGTGTGTGTGTGTGTATGTGTGTATGTTTGTGTGTGTGTGTGCGCGCATGTGTGCATGTAGGAAAGGCTCATCCATTAGCCTAAAGGGCACCATCCGTTAGTCGTAGCTCTTGCAGCCCAGCTCATCCTTTTGGGATGCTGAACATAGTGCTTAACTACCTGGCTACAACTGTTGACCAGACAACGGTGCTGGTTTGGTGAGCTTGCTCTCATACCCTTCACAGATACAGGAACCCAAGGATTATAAGGAACTCAGGGCATAATGCCAGCTGTCAGACCCCCAACATCAAATGGAATTAAACTGTTGTAGTAAGTTGCTTGAGGAGCATGTTCTGCAGTTGCAAGCAGGGCTTGACGGGTCATGCTGTTTATCATCTCTTACTGGATTCACATGGAATCTAAGTCCCTTCCATCCAGTTTCCGCATTAAGCTAATATTTATTTTAAAATAGGAGAAGTGCATTGTGTTCTGTTTTGCATTAGTCCAAGAGGTGCAAATTAGATTAAAAATACAGGCGAAATGAAATGATCTCCTTAGTTGCAAGGTCTGTGAGATTTTGTGTTACAGGTAATTCACGACTCAACATAATTGCACTGTTATAATTATGTTATGTTAATGACACTATGTTTTTTTTAAAAAAAACTGGTTAGATCCCACATCACTTTTGTGTTGCCTTACATGGTGGGGGATTGTGCAAGTGTATTTTTTTCTGGTAAAAGAAAGAGTTCTCAATGGAGACATGATTATTAGCATTTTCCGTTTCAAGTGGAACAGTGCTTAATAACTTGCACCATATATTTTATTGGTATGTCTTCCTGGGTGGTATACTGAATCCTGATAGCTCCTTCCTTGCAGGGTTTAAAAGACACCTGCCAGGGGTTCTTCAGCTGTGATTTCCGCATTGCAGGGGGTTGCAGTGGATGACCCTGGGGGGTCCATTTCAACTCTACATTCCTATTATTCTGTGATATGGTGTGATTTTTCTTTTGATGGAAGGTTAAGAAGCAGGATTGTGGCCTGTAGATTACATGTTCTTGCTTGTTAAGAACTGAAGAGGAGCCAAACCACTGTCCCACTATGAACTTTCTCTCTCAAAAGTTCCTAGGTGACATTTTGAGCTGGGACTCCCTTTGACATACGAAGCCTCACTCACAGTCTTCTTAACTTTACTCTTTACTCAGTATTTCTCAAACCTGTGCTGGAAATTCAGCACACTGGTTTCCATTTCATCCTTTTATTTCAAAAATTTTAAATTGAGTCCCCCCCCCCAAGTAAACAAAAATTAAATGGCAACAAGCAAGATGCATAGGACAGGACTTAACTATGAATTTAGTTCATAGGGGGGAAAAGAGGAAATCCAAACAATCATGAAGGAAGTACATTAACAGCAATATGGAAAGCCAACAAAGATAGTACGTACATTTTAAGCTAGGGTTCAAAAATCGTTTAGGTATAATTCTAGAACGCAAGTGGGGCTGATCCCTGTTGTCCAAAACATATTTAACAAATGGAGACCAAGTAACTGAGCAGGTTGTTTTAGATATACAGGATGTAAATGCATCAATGAATAACAAGCAGCTGCCATTCTTTGCTTCAAAGTATTATTATAGCATAGAAGTAAAGCAGTCTCAAAAGTAAACAAGTGTGATCATAGTTCAGCTTTCCTGATCTTTGCCCTCACTTAAAATTGACCAGGCAAATAAAGTTTCAGTTAGTTTTGCTTATTCATCTGCTTAATGATTTTCTACCAATTTACAGCATCCAGACCTCCTGAACTTGTAAAGCAGGATGTGATGAATATGGTTCATTTGGGGTTTATTTAACTGAAATATATTTTTTTGTTTACAAATCTCAGCTTCGAAAAGTCTTGCAACTTCCAAATCCGGAAGTGAATTATTCAACATCTGCCTTTTCGCTTCTTGTGCTAGTGACAACACCTTAGATTATATACCTGTTTAAAATTTCAAAATGTTCTTCTTGCATTGGATAAATTTTTAATTTCTCTTCTGGTGCAGGTCTCATGCCCTCACCCTTCAGAATGGTGGTCAGGAGCAGCTAGGGGTTCTTTAATTTGTTTTGGCAATGTGGACGCTCTTGGATAACCCCAGCTCCCCTGATTCTGCTGGGGCATAAAAGAGGCAGTGAGATATTTAAAATCCTCAGTACACACTGCCTCTGAGCTGTTGGTGGCAGAAGGGAGAGTGGGGAAGATATTTTAGGCAATCTGCATGCACTGATTTTTCTAATATGCTTAAGGTGTAGAACTATGTGTTTTTAAACAACACACCAACAAAAACCACCACTTTTGGGCTGCATTTGCGCACAGTGCTAATCC